CCCAAAACCCCAAAACCCCAAAACCCCAAAACCCCAAAACCCCAAAACCCCAAAACCCCTACATTCTTATCACTAATTGAAATATTAAATATTCTTTAAAGTAGATCTTCTGATTCCTGGGGCAACATTCAGGATCTCATCACAGATTTTCTCAGTCATTGGGACTAGATTTCTAAAGACAAGCTCTTCTTGTTCCTCAGGAACCTCATTATACCCCAGCATTGTTCGAGCATGCTTGGCATTCTCTGTTTCATCTTCTGCTGCCATCTTTCTGTTTTCAGGTTTGGAGTATTTCATGCTTTCCTGAGCAATGGTTTTCTTGGCCTTCTCCACAAGATTCATCCGGTAAGCCTCTTTGTCATATTCAGTTTCAATGCGATCATTAAACTTGAGAGGTCTCCAGTAGGTACTAAGAGGGACTCCATAATGGTCTTTCTGGTAGATTTTCTTCCTCTTTATTCTCCAAGACAATATATGGTCTATCAGTGCAGTGATGATCCGCTTCTTATTAGCCAACTTTTCATCAAATTCTTGGATATTCTTGAAGCACTTATCATAAGCGGTTTGAAGCTTCTCTATTTTCTCATCCTTAGGAGTTCTGTGTGGAGACCCTCTATTTCGCATCTTTAGTTTCTGGATTTTAGCATCATAATCGCTCATTTTCTGTTCGTAATATTTTAAGTCTTCTTTAAGCTCGTTATTTTTCTCTATTGAAGTCGGAAAGTTCACGTAGACAGTAAAGGAAGTATTCCATTCTGAAGAAAGAGATCTTGTCGTCGAAGACGACCTGGTCTTGGTACTTCACCATGACTTCTTCGACCTCTGGCTGTAGCATCGGACCGAGATTGGTCTTCTCCTTCAATCCATGCTGTGCGATGTTGAGGTATTTATTCTCATAATCATGCTTGTAGAAGCTTTCAATATCCATTGCATCATCTCTGACTACAAATCCTTTTCGGATGATATCTCTACGCTCCTCTTGAATTTGGCGCATATCTCTTGCTACTAACTCGAGAGCTTCCTCAGGAGTTCAGGCTGCTCTCTGGTGCCTCTTTTCTTCCTGTTCCTTCTGCAACTTTTCAATCTCTCTTTGCTTTTTCTTCTTCTGCTTTTTGTAAATATGCTCGAGGTCAGTCTCTGGTTCAAGGAAATTTGGTTTATTTGTGGCCAACTTCAAAATTTTCGTAGTTTTTCTCAAAAGCTTTAGTTAAGCCCTTAACGACCTCATCGAAATCTTCAGGATTCTTTAGAATTCTTGACTCTAAGACTTCGTCTCTCTTCACAAATGGAAGGTAGAAGTTGATGAAGTAGAAAATAGAAGCTGCTACATGCTCTTTGGTATACTTTGCAGGCATGATTCCAGTCAAGGAGATTCCTTTCTTATCCACGATCTCTTGTTTGTTCTCATCTATGATAGACTCTTCAGTGGTGCTGCTGAAATCCTCCCTGACATCGTACTTGAGTCTTGACTCAATGCTTCTTTCAGAGTCCATGCTTTTCTTGCTATCCCAACTTTTCATAGTATCATAACTTTTGTAACTGTCGATGGTCTTCTTAGAGTCCCAGGTCTTTTCAGGGCTGGATGATCTTTTACTCCTAGTCGGTCTTCCCCAGTTCTTTGTGATATTTTTTATATAACTAGTTCGCTCATTTTTGTGACGAGATCGAAACTTTTCTTTATCCTGATCCCTTTTGAAAGAGTTACCTAACTTGCTAGGAGTTTCTTCCTTATTAGAACGATATGTAAGAGTGGCTTCTTCTAGCTGCTCATCAGCATTTTTATACTCATCTTCTTTATCTCTCTTAAGACGCTCGAATGTATCGAGAAGAGTGGAATCGAGACCTTTGCCTATCCCTTGGAAGTACTTCTCACGGACTACTTCTTCTATCTTTATATCAAGCTTCTTTTCTAATTCTCTGAGAAATTTATCTGTGACAAATTCTGATTTGTAATACACTCGCAAGTTAATGGAATTTATTTTATCGGGAACGAACCTAATTCGATGAGCTCTTCTACTCTCTTTGAAAGTATGCGATTTGAGTATCTGGTCTCATATATCTTCAAAATGCTCAACTTTGTCCTTTTCGAATTCACTGATATTAGACCTGATTACTGGTAAAACTTCATCTACAAGTTGACCAAAATATTCACTCTCAGATTCGAAGAAGTCTTCCATCAGTGTCGTTCCATTAAAATGGCCATCGCTGTATTTGATCTTTCCGACTTCTTCTATTTCATCAAATCTGACATTTTGAAGAGTTTCAGCCATCTTTGCAAGTTTGAACCCATAAGCATATGAGGGGAGAGAGCCTTGCTTAGAGCTGAACCTCGTGCTAGCTTCGCTATCCGAGGGAACTTCATACTGCCTATGATTTTGGGCATCTTTGAATACTTCCTTGATAAATAAGTCACCAGGGAACTCTTCAACCTCATACACTCTAGTTAGCCTTGTATCGACATCTGGGCAAACTCTGAATCGGTAATAGCTTGGGCAACAGTCATCAGTTACTTCTTTTAACTTTTTGTAATACTTTGACAGAGTATGGAATTTGTTAAGATACCTATCTCTCTTCTCAGCAGCTTTTCTTTGGTTCATGCCACCAATTCTGTTCTGAATTCTGATCTCAAATCTGCCTTGGTTCTTAGTATGAGCCATAAAGTGAATGCTTTTACTTTCTCTTGGCTGAAAGAATAGCTGTTTGCATTGGTGAGTACTCTTGACTGCATTATCTAGTCTAATCTCATCACATACTGTGCTTATCAAAATGGTGTTAAGGAGTCTAACCAACTTAATTCGAGGAAATTTGTACACATCTTGGCCCCAGTACTCAACTAAATCAGGTGAGACAATCTCCAGTGCATCTTCGTACATCTGTGTACTATCCATTGGTACAAATAAGAACGGGAAGGATTCAGCTTTTAGGGGTTTCTCAAGTAATTTATATTCGAAAACATCTGGCCAAGTAGAGAAGTACTTTCTCATAAGGTCATCAGCCACTTTCTCTCCATTAAGAGCAGCCACGTGAAAGTATGCACACTTTTTATTCGCAAAATGCTCAATGATATCTTTATTTATATTTAGAATGCTTATACCGTCGGCTGATCAATGTCTTTATTTGGGCTTCTGATAGATGAATATGATTTTTCGAGATAATCTTGAAACCAAGAGACTCAAAGTATTCAGGTAGAGTGTTATAAATATCATCATAAAGAGGATTCATCAGAAAGATCACATCTTCAATTCTATTGAACTTTTCTACTGGGACCACCTTCTGAGTCTCCTCAAGAATAGGGGCAAAGGCCACAGTTTTCTTTTTTTTGACCTCCATTTGAAATTTAAATTATCAATATTATAAAATAAATTTGGGGTTTTGGGGTTTTGGGGTTTTGGGGTTTTGGGG